GAAGAGCAGAATCACGGCCTTAAAAACCTTTCTGATCACTCACTTATCAGACTTCAATACTGGTCTGAGTGATCATAACAGGAGGCAAAATTAAATCGACACTGACTTAAATTCTTTGTGTTACACAAGCTAGTCTCAAACAAAAAGTTTGAAAATAAATAGTCAACATCATTAGCCATCAGGAAAAACTCCAAATTAAAAGCAGAATGAGATAGCGCTATATACTTCTCAGGATGGCTGAATCCCCCCACCCCCCCCCACCCCCAAAAAAAATCCTAGCACAAAAATCTGGTATAGTGCAGAGACACTGTATCACTCATACATTGCAGTGGAAGCACAAAATGGCATGATGTGGCTCTTAGTTGCTGATGTGTTTTGCTGTAAAACTCCATCGTTTGTATCTTTAGGGTGAAAGTTTGGGAGTTCTGCTGGCTAAGTGGTCGCACATGGGGCTGCGAAAAGGCCCGCCCTTTGAAACCTCCAGCACCAGAAACATGAGCTTCCTCCACCTGCCCAGCACGAGAGCCCTGCAAACCCACAGGGGCAGGTCTAGCTTGTCCTCAAGGGTCCCTGAGAATCAACTCAGAGGCCGCAAGTTTGTTTTGTTTGAGGTGCACATTTACAAAGCATATTATTTTCCCTTTAACAATCACTGCACGGATTATCCAGTGATAATATCTTTTCCACAGTGGATCATCATCCCCATTCATTCAACTCCCAAGACTGCAGTTTCTTTGCCCCTTCTCATCTTGGACACCGTGGAGTGACTAGTACACGGGGGCTCCTGAAGATCTTTCTTTTCTTTTCTTTCCTTTTTTTTTTTAAAGGAGCTCATTACTACAGAGTGATAGTCTTTGGTTTAGGAGCGACTCTGTCTAAAAAGTGAACCCCGGATCATTTTGGTTTCAAGTTTAAAGAGTATCTGTGAGTGATCAAGTCAAGAACCCTCTAATCTAAATTGCTTCATTGGAGGGAAGGTGGGGTAGAAAGGGGGAATCGATTACAAGGATCCACACATAACCCCCACCCTGGGGGATGGACAACAGAAAAGTGGGCGAAGGGCAGTGTTGGATGGTGTAAGATATGACAAAATAATAATTTATAAGTTATCAATGGTGCACGAGGGAGGGGGAGTGGGGAGGGAGGGGGGAAATGAGCTGATATCAAGGGCTCAAGTAGAAAGCAAATGTTTTGAGAATGATGATGGCAACAAATGTACAAATGTGCTTGGCACAATGGATGGATGGATGGATTGTGATAAGAATTGTATGAACCCCCAATAAAATGATTAAAAAATAAATTGGTTCATTAATTTTGAACTTTTTATGATTTTGAGTTCTGGTCCACATTTTATCAAGATCTATCTACTGTGGAACCAATCAGGATGCTTGGTAGAGGTAGCCAGGTACCATCTAATTCTTTGGGTCTCAGGGTAGATGAGGCCATAGCTCCTGTACACGGCTTTCTTTTATGAATCTTTAAATGTCTTTATTTCTCTCTCTCCCCCCCCCCACAGACAAATAGAGATCAATGGTTGTATATCAGAGACGGCCACTCACAACCTTTTAAAACCCCAGACATTACCCAGCTCTTTGGAATGTAGAACATTTACCTTATGAACTACTATTATGCCAATTAATTGATTAGTCCTGCAATGCTGTGATCCTAAGTCTTCAAACTCAGAAAACCAATCTCAAAAGATGTTTATATTATATGTCCATGGGGTTTTTAAGCCTGGGACCCTTTGGAAGCAGCTCATCAGGCTGTCTTCTGAGATGTCTACTGGGTCGGTTTGGACTACCAGCCTTTGGCTCAACTGTTTGTGCCGCCCAGGGACCCTAGAAAATAACACAACACTCTGGAAAGCAGTTGCTTATACGGTAAAATATTCCATTTCCATCCCGCCCACGTGTGTATCAGTAGAGAAATGAAAACTTATGTTCATACAAAGGATCCCTGGTGATCTTGTAACTAACCACCAGCTGCTCCTTGGGAGAAAGATAAAGATTTTCTTCTCCCATCGAGTTAAGAGTCACAGAACCCACAGGGGGCAGGTTTACCCTGCCCCATAGGGCTGCTGTGAGCCGGAACTGACTTGATGGCAGTTAATTTGATGTTTTTAGTTTTATGCTCATACAAAGTCGTAAACAAAATTTTATAGTAGCTATCCCCATAAAAGCAAAAAACGAAGCAGTCCAGACGTCTTTCTGAATATGTAAATAAACTGGGACATCCATAACATGGAACACTAAATAAAAAAAAAAAGGAATCAACTGTTTACACAACTCTGGAAATTATACTTAGTGAAAACCATTCCCCCCAAGGGGACATATTTGATTATTTCATTTATATAACATTTTGAAATGATAAACTGTTAGGAATTAATGGCTGGAATGAGAAGTGGGAGAGAAGTAAATGTGGCTCATTGTGTATTGTAACTGGTGGCGAGTATATGAACCCACACTCGCCATAAAATGAATGCAAGTAAAACGAGTATACATGTAATTGGGAAAATCGGAGCAAGACTGTGGGGGATATTTACACCCACCAATTTTGATAATGTTATAATGCTCCCAGATGTGCAAGGGGTTTTACAAAATGATGGGATCT